GGATTTTTGGGACTGATTCCCGAAATATTCCATTCTTCATGGTCCAAAAAATACCAGATAACGTTTCCGAGCAGATAACGTTGTTCGACTGACTATAATAATTTCTTTTTAAAAAGTAATTTCTCATTACTATAATAAATTTTATTATTATTATTATTATTATTATTATTATTATTATTATTATTATTATTATTATTATTATTATTATTATTATTATTATTATTATTATTATTATTATTACAGTATGTGAGAAAAGTATGTGAGAATGAGAAAACCCTGTGGATTCAATAAAAATTACATATTTGTTTTTCTTTTTTTTAAATAAAAATGTTTTTCTTTAAAAAAAACAATCTAAATAATATAATTATGAGCTCCAGGAATGTTGCTTTTAGTGGCTTGGACCATACAACACTGGAAGAGAATCTAAAGTATTGTCCTGGCCCAGTGAAAGAAATAGCCCAAAGAACAGTCAGCAAACATTGCAACTTTTCTGAATTACCCCTGAATGTTCAGGTGTATTTGATGAACATTGAGAGAGAAATGTTCAATAAAATGAATACGGAAAAGGTGACCGAGAGTAAACTATGTCGAGTCTTTGCTTTATCTTCAAGTCAGTTTAATATCAACAAACGAAGAGGTATGGAGACGGCATTGTTTGGAAAAAAAGATAACGGACGACCGTCATTTTTAACTGAAACACATTGGGGGAATTGTCAAGAATTTGATTCTTGATAATGAAAAGTTACCAGGAAAATGCAAAGCTATCAGCATAACTTATTTGAGGTTGTTTATAATAAAAACCTTTAACGTTGATGTGTCAAACCACGTTATTTATGATAAAATACATAAAAATTGGAACTTTTCGATTGTGACTGTGTTTGCTGAAGACCAATCTCGATTGACCTACGACGAAGATGCCGTGTTGAAGTATTACATTGCACTGCCACTTTTTTTAAATGGCATCCCATCACAATTTATTTTGAATTTGGATGAGTCAGGGTATCAGCCATGGCCAGACAGGCAAATGGTGAAGGGAGTATTTAATGCTGGTTTTTCCACAGACAGTAAAATGAAATATGGAGTCGAACGTGACATTGCTCGATCCACTGTCGTTTGCACTATAACCCCCTCACAACCTCTTCCTTGTATGATTGTAACAAAATACAAAAGAGTTGCAGTTGAATTCTTGAAATTGGGTTGGATGGAAACGGGAAACATCGTCAGTTATAGCAAAAACGGTTTTATCAACAGTGACTTATTTATACAATACATCAACGACGTTGTAGTACCTTATATTGTCGACATGAGAATTAAGACTGGTTATATTGATAAAGCCGTGCTGATATTTGATCAGTGCACGTGCCACTCAATCGAAGATGTGAGGTTGCTGCTCAAGTCGAATGTCCAAGTCAATGAGAAAATCATCAATGTGAATTGTGAAATCGTATGTTTGGTGCCTCACACCTCACATTTAACACAACCATTAGATGTTGGGGTGTTCGCAGCCCAAAAAAGAAGACTGAATTTGTTGTATGCGAAGTTTAGAGATGTCATAAAAAATAAAGATAGAGTTAGCGAGGAAGAAACAACAACGACAGAAAGTGAAGACGTTGAAGAAAAAGAAGAATCAAATGATGTGATTGGAAGCCAAGATCCCATTGAAAAACCATTAATACCTCAACAGTTGGAGTGTATGTTTTAGGAAGTGCTGGCAAATCAACAAGAGGCAATATCACCATTTAAAAAGAAGGCTGTTACGACTGTCAAAGAAAGGATGGTGGATGACAACCAATCAGAAGATCACTACGAAATACCAAATGAAACTAAAACTGTTGAATTTGGTGATGGAGAGGACTTGGAAAAAAGTTTGCCAAATACCTCAACTCAATTATGAAGTCTTATTTCCAAACAACTACTCCGGATGTGTGCACGCAGGCTTTTAGGCAAGTTGGTATTGATTTCAGAATTGTTGATGGTGGTATGAGGGTTGCATTTGTGGATATTGGAGTGTCATGCAAAGTCACAGCAGAAATACCGAGACTGTTAAGTATACCACAGTTATACTCGATTGAATGCATCAAAACAAAAAGCTTGAAAATATCTGCAGTTCGAAAGCTTCCAAGGTGTTTTGAGGGTTATTTTTGTCAGTCTGTTTGCAAGCCGATCAAAAGAAAAGAACGGGATGTTGTATGTAAAGTTGTGAAGAAAAAGACGACCAAAAAAATCTCAAAAAGAACTAAAAATGGGGTTGAGAATTTAATCGATTGATTTTTATCTTTTTAATCAGTTGTAGCGCCGAGTTTACATTACTGTTACATATCACAGGTCAGAATGGTCACTGATTGGATCAATACATGTCTGAACTGTCATAAGTCCTTCGAATAGAAGAGATTCGTTTGTTAAAAGTTCTTTCGTTATGAAGATAATAACTTGTAGAACTCGCTCGTAAAGACTCTTGAATTCAACGTTGTTTGCTTTGAATCGTCTAGTTGCTATGGCTGATATGTCCAATATACCTGGGATTCTTTGGCGTGAGGTCTGAGTCAGTTAGTTGATAAGTGCTGGCTGGCTGTTCACACTCTGAAATCTGCTTTGTAGGTTTCCAAACAAATTGAAAGAGAAAATGAACTGTAAATAAGTGATTTTTTTTATTTGATCTTTTTGAATTTTTTGAAATAAAAAATAATTTTATTACATAAAAGTTACACAATTGTGACTTTTGTTGAATCCACAGGGTTTTCTCATTCTCACATACTATTCTCACATACTGTATATATATTTTGAAAAAAAAACGAAAAAAATCTGGCTTGATCAGATAAACTATATTTTATTATTATAATAAACAAACAATAATTTGTTATTGGTTTCTGTTTTATTATTATTAAAATTCATATAACTATAGAGCCGAAAAAAAATATTCGATTTATATCTCTGTTGGTTTTCAACAATGGCCTTTTCATTCAATTCACGAGTGGATTGAACGAATGACTATCCATTTTATAATTATTGCGTTGTGGGCTATACGACTTTGTTTAAAGATTAATTTTATTGTAATAAAGTAATTATATCAAAATTCTTCATTTAAGTTTTTGATTTATAATTCTATCGACAATATAATATATTTAATATTTTGTTTGATAATTTTTCTATAGAGCTTTCTTTTCTGTTGACCAAAACTTTATTTATATTTACAAAGCAAACATTGAGTGGTAGTAATTGACTGTGTGAATAATATTAATTGACACAAACACAACAATTAAATGTTGTTTTTGTAATTAAATTTATATTAAATATCAATACTTATATTTAATATAACTTTATAAATTGGAATTATTATTTTTTTAAAGCGCATTTTACAGTTATGGTAATGAAAAATGCATTATTGTCACCATGAGTGACTATTTTCTTATTTTTACACTTTCAACATTTTGAATATTGAGAAGCTTGTTTTAAACGCAAATTTGAGAGTTTCTGGAAATTCAATGAAAATCGGGGAGCTCCAAAATATGAAGGCAAATACATTGCAAAACAATTTGGATATATTGGCATTGAAAATTGTGTTAAACGAGGTGTTGTTGTTAAGCACGAAGAACTACATATATATTGGATTGAGTGTTGGATAACACAATATCATTTGATGCCAATTCTGTGATTTTAAGTAACGAAATTGTCAAATTGGGAGACGTCTTTGTGACACAAGAAATTAATGTAGATAACATGAGTCAACTGTCTATTGTGTCAATATTTAAAATACCAAGCGAGTTCTTATTACTTTCACAACCAACAAAAAATCCGCTTATAATTACAGAAGCACCAACGTTGAATGGTGTCACTGCAGTTTATTCAATAATTAATAAAAATTATTTACAACTTGTGGAAGTTTAATTCTATTTATTGAATTCTTATAATTTTGTTTTTGGTTGGTTATTTTATAAATTGGTCAATAGAATATAAAAAACATTTTTTAAATTATAAAATGGTCAATGATTTTTATAAAAAAGCTCAGTCTATACGTGAATACCATCATATAAATATTTGGATTTATTATATAGACTTTATCACTTTGATATTTGAATTAATAATGTTTATAAATTTAGTTATATTTGAAATTTCAAATTATGGGATTACATTATTATATAGTATTGTATTATTAATAAATAAATAATTAATAATTAATAAATAATTAATGAATAATTACTAATTATTTTAATAATTTATATTAAATTTTTTTGATTGTTTTAATTACATTTTATGATACTATTTTATTGTATTGTTAAAAAAATATAGTTTACTTATTATAGTGCATTATTAATTTTTTTGATTTTAGAAGCAAATAAAAGAAAATCGAATGAATGAAGAGACAGAACAGCTAAAAACAAGAAGAAAATAGTAGATTTGGAACAACAATTGCAAGACCTTGAAGAAATGATGGGACTTTAAATATCGACCAAACTGAAGTCATCAAGAGAGATAACCAAATTGCTGATTTGGAAAAGGCAGTTGCTGCGTTGAAAGATATCAGAACATACAACTTGAAGCCGCTTATTAGGATATGAAGAAGAAATTAAAGACGCTTTGAAGATTGAGAATTGTGAATCACAGATTAAGGCACTTGAAGCACAAAAAGAAGAAGGCTTTGGACGACAAAACTAATGATGAGAAAACTGCTTTAACTTCTCAACTAATCTGATAGAAGAAAGAATATGGAAGACCAAGTCAAAGCACTCAATGCACAAGTTTCATTACTTAAAGTCCAAGTCAGTGCACCAGCTTCAATTGCTCAAGAAGAAGAGAAGAACATGTTGAATGCGAGAATTGCTAAAATTCAAGCCAAACCCGATGAAGAAGACA